TCACGGGAGTCGCCAGTGCCCATGTCCAGCAATCACTGTGCGAGGGGGCGGGGTACACCCTGGATGGGTTGCAATCCCATCACAGGGACACATAGAGACAAACGACCATTCACTCTCTCACACCTAGGTTCAATTTAGAGTTACCAATCAGCCTAACATGCATGTTTTTGATCTGTGGGAGGAAACCGGAGCACCCGGAGAAAACCCATGCATGCACAGAGAGAACATGTAAAATCCACCCAGAGGGGTCCCCGGACTGGGATTTGAACCAGGGACCTGCTCGCTGAGAGGCAGCAGCTCTACCAGTTGTGCCACTGTGCTGCCCTTAACTGAGGAATCTTCTAGTTAATTTATTTATGACGGTGTTAATTTTTTCAGTTTTTGCTGTGAATGTTCTGTAACCTCTGTGTGCTGCTGCCAGTCTTGGCCAGGATTCTCTTGCAGAAGAGATTTTTAATCTCAATGGGATTTTCCTAAGGACCGAGATGGTGTAGGGGAAGGGCAGTCGACTCGGGACCCAAAGGTCCTGGGCTCAATCCCCGGTCATTCCACATCTCGTGGTGTCTCTGAGCAGGACACCCAATCCCGAATTGCTTCCCGGGCAGCTTACATAGCTGCCCACTGCTCCACCTGGGTGCATCCCAGGTGTGATGGGTTAAATACAGAGAACCAATTTCATCTTTGTATGGGAACATACAATGATGAAAAACATATAGCACTTTATTTATATGTATTATTACAATTTATAGCAGTATTGCAAAAAGAAAAAAAAAACTGCCTGGGCTGCCATAAATCACATTTCAAGAATCATTCATTCAGGTTTTGCATCACAATAATATCTTGTTCAACAGACTCTCACTGGCCTTGAGACCCTCTCTTGGTTTTAATGAAGCATGAAGAAAATCAGAGTCAGAGATTCTTTATTGTCATTCGCACCCCATGTGGTACATGTGGTGGAGCGAAATTATGTACACAGGGTCCCAGTTACATTCAACAATAAAATGTCAAAGAAAAACAGTAACATCTAAGATGTGAACTAAGAAAAACATCAACTAAAATACACTAAGCACTAATAGCATAAAAACATTACGTCGAACAGCAGCACGAACATGAGCAGATGAGCACGGATGAACACATCACCATGAAACAGATCAGCAGCGACAGGATGTGATTTTTTTTTTCACAGTGATTATTCTGGTTAGAGATTCATGAGTCTAACAGCTTCAGGGTAGAAGCTGTTCCTCAGTCTGGTGGTTCTACCCTTAATGCTCCTCAACCTCCTTCCTGAGGGGAGCGGGGCAAAAATGTGGGTTTAATACAATTTATATCAGCTTTGCAATATTAAACAATAAAATCGCACTTCACAAGTTTTTCTAATACCGTTCAGCCCCTAGTAGTGGGAGAAAATGTACTGACATGACTTGACTTAAGACTTGGAGCTATATTGCCTATAAAACTGATTAAGATGATGCATTAAGTAGTTTTGAAATGCAAGAAATTAGTTTTTATTAAGTTCCAGGGCTGGATAATGATGTGAAAAATAAATTAGAGCATTAAAAAAACATCTATACTTCTAGCTTGTTTGTCCATGAATCTATACGCTAAAAGATGACAACCTGAATTGCTCAGATGGGCACAGTGCTTTTCATATTGATTATATATGAAAAACTGGATACAATCACCTTTCACTTCATCCAAATCACCGTTATAACCATTAGTTTCATGTTAACTCAGATGTATGCATTCTCATAAAGTGGGCCATTTTCACATCTTGAATAAAAGATAGGTGTACTGTATTGATGAGGGCTGCATTCCTTTAAGTTCAGCAGCGGCAGAATTGGAATGCAGCCATTATAGCCCCACTCCTGAGCTACGACAGATGGCTGTTGTACCTTTTTGAAAGTGCTGCTCCCTGTTAATTCTTTTAATTGTTACTTTATAAAACTAACACTGTCTGGAACAACAATGAATATTTGCACATAAACACAAAATGTTGGCCAAGTATAAATGGAAAGTTTAGACAAGCATCAAGGAGATTTGGCATGGACATTAGCTTTAGGCTAAAACTCGGCAAGAGTACAAATACAAATAAACAATACAACACAGTAAAATAATGTACAGAGAAAAGAAAACGTCGGAGGGACACTTACCGGACTGTACTTTGAAACACGGCGCAATAAATTTAACAGAAAATTAAAAAAGAATCAGCTAACTTTTGTCACAAGATGGCGACAAAGAGCCTCGCGCTGTCCTCCAGACCCGAAGAAGAGTAACTTCCGTTGTGACGTCATTTATCTGTTAGTTAATGGCGGCCGCTAAACAGGGTGGTGGACCGTAAACATTTCAGCTGTCAACTGTAACTGTCTAATTATCATAAAACATGTACTCGGCTCTGTCCAACACACATGACAGTTACAAGATGTCTATTTTCAACTTTCAGGTCGGTTCATTTGCCGCTTTGACGACAAATTCACCTCCTGCCCGACGGAAAAGAGGCAAACGGTAAGGAAAAAAAAAAAAAAAGCACAAGCGAGATAATTAACTAGTTAACAGGTTTGCTCGGTCCAAGTGGCGTAGTTGTGTAACCAAGTTAAGAAATCGTGTTTAAATATGCCTGCTTGACCGATGCGTTGTTTCAGCGTTAGGCATTATGGAGGACGAAGACCTTGATGGTACAGAAGAACCAGAAAATGAGTGCGAGGTGGCTGTGCTCCGTTTGAAAGTGGAGTCCTTGAAAGAAGAGCTGAAGGAGTGCAGAGCCGAGCTGGCCAAGTTACAGAAGCAGCTGAGCCACTCGGAGAGGCTGCAGAAGAGCACAGAGAGCTACAATGAAGACCTCAGGAAACAGGTCTGTCCTCTCTAACACCAAGAAATTAGTATTTAATCTGATCAGACGCGCACGCTGCACGTCCTATTTTAACAGTTCAAGAGTTTCTAATAGCTCACTATAGTCGGTAATATGTTTATCATACCTTATATTAGATATATAATTTGGTAATAAAGTTTTAGCCATGTCGATATTTGCTCTAATTCAAGTTCAAGTAGGTTTTATGATCACTCGCATCACATGTGGTACATGAGGTGGAACGAAATTGTGCACGCAGGGTCCCAGTTACATCCAGCAATAGCAAAAATATAACTTGTAAAAAGAAACGGTAATAAGGAACTAAGATATAAACTAAGAAATACGCTAAGCAACGCAAATGGTGCGTAACACGCCGATCAACAGCAGCACGAACATGAGTCTGTGAGTAGATGAGTATGAATGAATACAGCAGCATGAGATCAGCAGCATGGATAATCAGCAGCACATATCACCTGATCCTGATTAGGGATACGTGAGTCTAACAGCTTCAGGGTAGAAGCTGTTCCTCAGTTGTAATTGTCCTAAATGTCAGTGTTCCTTTAGGCCATTTCTAAACCTCTGCCGTCTTCCTTCACCGAATTTAAAGTGAGGGCAAAGCACCTCTGCTTTATGAATTTGTGAAAGTACAATAATTTCTAATGGTTTGCTTTTTGTTTATGAACATAGTTGACGTGTGCCACTTTGAGTTTGTAACTTATTGTAGATTTTAGAGCTTTAAAACGTGATGCCTGTCATTTTATTAAAAAATAAATCCATTGCTTCAGGTTGACCAACTGAGTGTAGAGATTCATGAGCGGAAGAAGAAGGATAAAGACAAAGTAAACGGGGAAACTCAGACAGAAGAATACGTATGGACAGAAACAGGTGCGTACATACATAAAGTTGGCAAAGTAAGCAGAACTTATTAAAATGTTACAAATTATTACTTTTTGTTTTAGATTACTACAACTATTACTATGGAGGCTACAGCCAAAACGCTGAAGGGACAAACTCTCGGGAAAACCTGAACTGGGCAGCAGCAACAGCGGTGGATGCTGCTGATTGCGGCGCAGCAGCAACAGCGGTGGATGCTGCTGATTGCGGCGCAGCAGCAACAGCAGTGGATGCTGCTGATTGCGGCGCAGCAGCAACAGCAGTGGATGCTGCTGATTGCGGCGCAGCAGCAACAGCAGTGGATGCTGCTGATTGCGGCGCAGCAGAGGTTTTACCAACAAACGAAGCAGCAGCCACAGATGTGTCAGCTCCACCTGATAGCAGTAAAGTAGTTGCAGCTGAGGTTTGTTTCATGAATTTTGTTTTGTAAAACATTTTTGCTGTAGTAGTAATTATCAAAATTTTACTTATTTAAATACATCTGTTTTGGTTAAGTATAAATTGTATTCATGTTTTTAAGTTGACGTATATTTCCAAAATATTGTCTGTTTCAGGAAGGTGATGGAGGATCTATTGCTGACATGTTGAGGGCCACTGCTGAGGAAGCTATGACCCAGACTGGGTTTGTGTTTGATGAGACTTCTGGGATGTATTATGACCACAGCACATGCTTCTACTATGACTCGGTTAGAGCTTTTTTGTTTTACATTAAGTTTGGAAGTTTTGGTCAACATTTTTATTAATAATAATGTTTCAAATTTTATCCATGTTTTTCCTCTTAACACAGGTCAGTCAGTTGTACTATGATGCCAACACGGGTATATACTACTACTATGATGCAGAGAGCGGACGGTATCAGTTTCACTCAAGGATTGAGATGCCTGTTGCACAGAGCACTGCTGATCCAAGTCAAGAAACATTTGAAGTTGACAAGAAATGGAGAAAGTTCAAAAAAGGGATCAAGAAAACATCACATCAGGATGAACGGGTATGAAACAGACACTACTTAAGTAGATTACTTGAACATTTTTATAGCTGACAGCTGGCTTTTGACTTTGCAAATTCCCTTAAAGTTTTCTTGACTTTTATTGGTCTTGGCCTTTAAAAAGTACAATTTTCATTTTGCAGTAATGTAAGCCTAGTTGACTAAAAGACTTCCTCTGATCTAGGTGCAAGATGTGACTAACTCTTTGGCTAAAATGAAGATTTCCACTTACTGGAAAACTCCCTCCTACAGAGGTATAACTTTAGTATTACACTGCAAAACACGATCATACATTTATTATTTTCAGATTGTTTTTCCTTTTATCGTATGCATTAGTTTTAAATATAATCAAACTCAACATACGCTGATTTCAGTGCCTCTGAGTGGAATTATTCATACAGAAAGCACTTGACATGTTTAAAGCAGATATATAGGGTCATTAACCTTGGTTAATTATTTTCCTGTAATTTTTGGACTAATCTGGGGAAACAATCTAATAATTTGTATTCAGAGATGTGTTGTGAGATTTTGTGACGAGCTTTGGGGTCAAAGAGTCAAAAGTCAGCTGGTCTGCAGTCACTAGAGATGGTATTCTCACTGCTGACTGTCTGGTGGTAGGAAATCAAGTCAGAGGACCCAAAGCATGAACAAGATGAAAACAACCATGTGGAATCTCGAAAACCACGCCGAAGGTCTCGCAGCCCGAACTCTGCTCAGAGTAAAAAAAGCTCTTCTAAACATCGAGAAGAAAAGGACAGATCACCATCAAAGAGAAAGAAGCTCAAAAACGGTTCACACCACGAGGACAAGGGCCGACTAAAAAAGAAGAGGAAGAAATCAAAATCAGAAAGGCACAAAAAGAAAAAGAAGTCGTCTCGGAGCAATGAGTCGGCAGGCAACAGTGAACCAGAAGAGGGAGAGATCACAGAGTCAGAGAGGGAAGACCGGGAGTCCACCCCCTCATCCTCATCATCGTCCAGCTCTAAAAAGTCCAGGGAAAGTCCTGAGTCAGAAATGGAAGTGCAGAGCCAAGAAGGTGAGAGGATGTCAAAGAAACTGACATGTACGGAGCACGTCTTCCAGATCAGATTCTTTGGGCCAGTGAATGTAATTAATTTGTAGTTTGATGTTAGAAATATTTGTCAGTTGCATGTTCTGTATCTTTCTGAGACTGACATGCTCCAGTAATAGTGCGGATGGTTTGTCTTACAGTGAGGAGCATTTGGCCTCCATGTGTTAGAGTGACGGTGGTGAGGTCTCCAGTGCTGCAGGTGGGAACTCTGTTCATCATCACAGCTGATTCTCCAGCAACATTTGGCAGGTTTGTCTTTTTTAATGTCCCGAGTCCTTCCTCAGAAAAAGATTAGGCCCTTTCATACCAAGCACATATCTTTAAAAAAGTCAAAGTGGTGCAGCCGTGTAAGTGAACCACATGGCTTAAGTGAAAATCTGTCATCTCGGTTCTTTTGCTTACAGAGAGAAAGATATGGACCATGCAGTTAGAATACCAGAAATGGGCGTCAGCAAGGTACCCATCTCCACTTTACCTGCAAGTTAATCTTTTGTTTCATTCAAGACGATTTATTGTTTCTAAATGCTAAGTCTGTTTGATTTTAGTTCCATGCAGAGGTGTATTTTGACCAGGAACAGCAGAGCTACATGCTGGTGGACCAGGGGAGCCAGAATGGAACAGTCATCAATGGCGGCCGCATATTACAGGTCAGCACGTTGCCTCTGTGTCAAAAACTGCAAAAACATCCAAATAAATTATAAACTTCTCAGTAAAACTCCTTCTGTGCAGCCCAAAACCAAGTCTGAGCCATGTGCACTGACGCATGGTGATGAAGTCAAGATGGGAGAGACTGTGCTGTCCTTCCACATCCACTCAGGTACAGACACCTGTGATGGCTGTGAGCCCGGACAAGTGATGGCTCACCTCAGCAAGCACAAGAGAGAGGACGACACCGGTGAGAAAACGCGTGCATGGAAACAGATTTGTATAGATTGATTAAAGTGTGATTTATTACTGTTTAATTTCTAAAGGCCCTGGTCTCACCAAAGAGGATAAAGAATCACTGAGACAGAAAGAGCTGAAGCAAATGAAGGCCAAATATGGCCTGCAAGTAAGTGTTAAACTGGGTGAGGTGGGGGCGGGGGGATCAAGGTGTGTTTTTGTGTATGCATTCACACATTTCTGTCTTTAACTACACAGACCAGTGAGTACGAGGAAACCAAAGCCCTGAAGAACCCCAAATACAAGGACAGAGCCGAGTCTCGACGCCAAATCGTGGGCAGTGAGGGTGTTTTCCAACGAGATGATGCCCCTGCCTCAGTACACGAGTGAGTAACTCGACTGTGACTGCAACTGCTCCTGAAATGGCAGACTTCCATACGGATTGTATATTGTTTTTGTTTTAAAGAGAGATCAGTGAGGTCAATAAAGGCCGAAAGATGTTGGAAAAGATGGGCTGGAAGAAAGGAGAGGGGCTGGGTAAAGAGGGAACAGGAATGAAAGACCCAGTAAGATAATCTGCTCATTACGTTTGTTGCTGTGGGTTCTTTTAAAAAAAAAATCTAATCTAATCAACAAAATTGTTTTTTCTTCTTCGTGTCATTCTCATCTCCACAGATCGAGCTCAAGATTAGGAAGCCTCAGTCAGGTTTGGGAGCAGGTGCCGTCATGTCGGTGGACAATGTGTCTGTGACCAAATCCAAGTCTCATACAAACTGGGAGAAAGCCCGTGAACGGTTCGCTGACACCTGCCAGTCTGACTCTACCAAAACACCGAAGAATAAGTCTCCTCAAGCATGGCTGAAATCAGACGAGACGGAGGCGTCGCAGCCAAGCGTTGAAACAGACGGTCCGAGTTAAAGGAGCAAAACGTGCTGCGGTTTAATGAACAAAGGGAGTCTCTGTACTTTGTAAGACAACTGATGTACTTATTTTCTTTTTACTTCTTGACTTAAAATATATTGGTAAAGACGGCTACCAGCAGAACTTTTTAATTTAACTAAAACTGTGACCACATTATGATTTTCCATCAGTATAAACTTGAGTGAGATACAGCAACACAATTAGACAATGTTCTGTAATCTGCCTTTTTACGTGTGTCAGAAAAATCCAAGATCGGCGCGGTGCGACCTACAGAAAAGGCTGAGCAGCTGCCGTGCCTCGCTGTATTAAAAGAACGCAAGCTGTCTCAAGCAAATATTGACACATCCAGGTTCTATTTCTCACAGTGAGATCATACCGTAAGGAGACGATTGTGGACCTTTTCTGACAAAATCCTAAGAGATCAGGTTAAACGAGTTACAAGCCCTTTTTTTCTCAACGTGACCAATAAATTAGGATTTTTCTTGACATCTTGTTTGCTTCGTGTTTGCCACTTCATCTGATTTAATCTTTTTGTGTCTTGTTTGCTTCATTCCTGTAAGTTCAGCGTGCAAACATTTCCCAGCCCGTTTGAACTCCGCTTTATCTACGGCTGCTCTGAGGGTGTGTGAATATTTGCATGTGAACACATTTCAGTCACACACCACACTTGAAACGAACACTGTGTGCTCTGTTATTGGAAAAGCTTGGGGTTTATGGTTTTTAATTTAAACTATCCTTGTAATATAGAACTGGATTATTTAACCAACAACAGAATTTAACTCGAGTGCTGTAAAGGTGCTTCAAACCGCTAACGGAGTTGACTCACGTGTGTTTGGAGGACTTCCTTGAAAAGGTTTGCTTGATGCCCTTCTTCTGACTTACAGTTCCACCCATTTTGATCCCCCTTCTCGGTCAATGGACAGATGGAACCGCAGCTTCCCTCAGCTGCTCTGCATGTTCTGCAGCTCTGACAGTTCAGCAGGTAGCTGTGGTGTGCCGCTGTCTGTTTTCTTCTCTTGACAGGCGGGACCACCCACCTTTGCTTGGCAGCCACACAGTCTCCTCCTTAAATGCAACTGCGCTTCAAGTTTGTCATATTGTAGTGAAATAAAACTGGGAGGGACTGGCCTGTGTGCTTTGTTGCCAGATAGAAAGTCTTGGCCATAAAAAGATGTAAGTCATGAGATAAAACGGGGCGTGGCTCAGAGCGTTTGAGAGATGTGGCTTTACCAGTTCCTCACAAGAAACGTAGGATTACTTTCAAATGCAGTGAAAATGGATGTTTTTTGGAAGTGATATGCAAACTTGTAAAACAGCCTGGTTTGAGCTTTATTTCTCGTGATATATGACACATGGTGAATCCCTAATGTGCTTTAATATTTTGCCTTGTTGCTCATCTGATCAGAGAAGTAATCAAATACAACAATCTATTTTTTAGAAAGGGGATCATACTTTCACGTCATTCACAGAAAGAACTAGAATAATTTCCGAGGTGGCAGCACTTCTTTGCAAACGTCAGTCATGAGCAAGCTCAAACAGGTTCTGTGTTTAGTCGTGGAATGGGTCAGAGCTGAAACAATATGACGTTTGTGTGAGTTTAAAGGACTCAATTCAGAGATGAAAATTAAGGACAAAGACAAAAATGGTCGATAAATAGCCAAAAAAGTAAACAAGTTTGCTTTAACTATAAGAAACTAATGAGTTGATTGAAAAAAAAAATACAATTTATGAAGAACTGAAACATTTTTTGACAAAATGTCTGTTGCGCACAGACTGGTCGAATGTAAACCCCCTTAAGAACACACATTGTACCAAACTGAACTGGTAAACAGTGAATGTTTGGCTGATGCATGCTTCAGGTATTTGCATTTGTGAGATTAATTTTTTAAAAGGCGATTAAAAAAGGGGGGGTTTCTTTGTTAAAAATGTTTCTAATGTTAAAAATCTTGGTGTTATTTTTGATCAGGACACGTCTTTAATCCCCCACATTAAAAACATTACTAGAACCTCCTTCTTCCACTAAAATTAGAAACATCTTATCTAAAAATGATGCAGAAAAACTGGTTCATGCATTTGTCATGTGTAGACTGGACTAGTGCAATGGTTTATTATCTGGGTGTCCAAATACGTCTTTAAAACGTCTTCAGTTGATCCAAAATGCTGCTGTCAGAGTCTTAACTGGAGTTAGTGGGAGAGATCATATCTCCAGTTTTAGCTTCTCTCCACTGACTCCCTGTAAAGTCCAGAATTGAATTCAAAATCTTACTTCTACAAAGCCCTCAACAACCTAGCTCCATCTTATATTACAGATCTTATTGTTCCATATTTTCCTGACAGAGCACTTCGCCCTCAGACTGCAGGTTTACTTGCAGTTCCTAGAGTTTCCAAAAGTCGAATGGGAGGAAGATCTTTCAGTTCTCAGGCTCCTCTCTTGTGGAACCAACTTCCAGTTTCTGTCTTTAAGGCTGACACATTGTCCAGTTTTAAGACTTTCCTTTTTGATAAATCCTATAATTAGAGCTGGCTTGTTATGCTGCTATAGACTTAGACTAATGGAGGACAAATTGACCTCATTTCTTAAAATGTGCTTAAAATATTGTTACAATCAAATAGTTTTCTTTTGATATTATCTTAACATGTGATTCTTGATCTGCCATTGTGTATCTGTTCCTCTCAAACCCAGCTGGCCAAAGCAGATGACCACTTGTCCTGATCCTGGTTCTGCTAAAGGTTTCTTCCTCATGAGGGAGTTTTTCCTTTCCACTGTCGCCTTCATGTTTGCTCAAGATGAGAGTTATGTGATGGAGTTAAACTCAAAGCTGCTCCTCAGATAAATAATGTGAACTTATTATTTTTATATATGAATGTTTCTGTTCAGTGCCCAGAAATGACCTCTGTTGTGATTTGGCACTTTGTAAATAAACTGAATATTTTTCGAGCTAAAATGAGCTCACAGATGCTCCTCAGTGTGGTGCCCTAATGGTTGCATGATACCTGCAATCATTTTCTAAAATTATGTCTATAGAACATGTCAGAATCAGAAAAATAGATGTACCTTGCAGAGCTTTAGACATGTATTTGCATAAGTTTTAGTGTGCACACCTTTTACATTTTTGTCCCATAGTTATCAACATTGTGTCGGAGCACCTCCAAGCACTTTAAACAAAGGTGGAATTTTTCATTTGCTGTCAGAAAATAAATTGGTTATATAAAACTAAATAGCAGAATCATACTCTCTTTGTTAAAACCAGGTCTCTCTTGTAAATGAGTCCCCAAGGCTCAATGGCATTAACCTGTATAAATAAAGGTTGAATGAAAAATACATCCAAAGATATATAAAAAAAAATTTTTTATGTTTGTTAAATTAAAAAATAAAGGCCTTACCTTTACCCCTATTATCTCCTGCAGTTTTATGTGCCCTGCTATTGCTCAAAGTATGTGTTGCACATGACTCTCAGCTACTACCACATCAAATTTGAGGTCAGTCTTTACAAAAGTGACAGAGTTGTAGACAATTTTGTGTTTGCTAGCCTTAAAGGTCAATCAGCTGTAGATGTACATCCAATGATTACTTTCAGAAAGCAGATTCTGCATGAATTTGCTTTGATAGAATAACGACGACTTCCTATCAGATGTACAGGCTTCACAACAAACAACAATAACAATAAGTGGCTGTGAATGAACACTTCCACATCCTGTTTGCAGGAAAGTCTACATCCCTGTAGACTCATCTCTCTCTCCTCATGCAAATGTTTGTTCACATTTCTCCAAGCACACACTACAAGATTAAGACATGGTGCAATCAGTAACACAACTATGTGATGCATAAATACGTTCTTGAAAATAATCTAAACTTTCTCTTGTCCTGCCCATAACTTCTGATCAGCTCACGATAATTCACCCAAACTTGATATACACGTGCATCTTCACTAGAAATATTGCATACAATTTTAATCATCCCAGCTTCAAGGTTAAGGTCACAAATCAAGGTCGAAGGTTGTACAAGGTCTTTGCTTTAAATTGCTGTAAAACAGTTTGCTGATGGGAATATAATGTGGCGTATGCGGTACTCTTTATAATGGTCAAGGGATTTTTCAGTTTTATTTTAAGCATTGTCTGCTAATGTGCAGATGAGTGCACTATATCTGAACTGCATTAAAAGGTAGTGTTTCTTTACAGCAATGACAAAAGTTGTTTTGGTTCTTACATGAATCTATAATCACACACTTGTGCAGACATGCAGGTTTTTATGATCTGGCATCAGATGAAAGACTTGCACTCTGCTGGGACATGTGTGCCGTATCAACCACTGGGACTTGATTTGTAGAGCATTTTTTAAACAAGTGAAAGTAACACAAAGTGCTTTAGAGTTCATCTAAAAGCTGTGCAGAAAAAGAAAGTTCCTGTGTGTCATCTGCACTGACGGACTTAAAGAGCTATGAGCCACACCAGTGATCGTAGGCACAAAGTTAAGACAATGAAAGTCCCCCCAAAATCATGTACTATTTTTTTTACAGCCAGGAAGGAAGTTGCACAATCTGGCTTCCAGATCAGTAGGGAAACAAGACAGTATAGTGTGAACAAAGTGAATAACTAAAACTTAATACAGTACATGCCATTTATAGATTTCAGGTCTCTCTTGTAAATGAGTCCTCGAGGCTCAATGGGATTTACCTGTCTAAATAAAGGTTGAATGAAAAAAAATAAAGATGTATGTCCAGGTTTTTAGAAGGAGGATTACAGGCATCAGATAAGGTTAGTGGTCAATAGTAACTTCACTGTCACACTTTCACTTCAGTTTCAGTCTGTCTTCATCTCAGATGGGAGTCTATTTAGGAACACAAGACCAGAAGTTTGAGAAACAATCTCATGTTGACTCAAACCTCCCATTTCTGCATCCACCATAATTAAGCTACTAAATCTGAGCTTCTGGCCCTCTCTAAATCAAAGTTATAAGAAAAAAATACAAGACTGTACTATTTTAAACTCTGACAGTGACTCTTAATAGATTCTGTTCATTTTGAGTGTTTGCAGAAATTCAGTTAAGTTCAGTTTATATAGCACCAGTCACAACAGAAGTCGTCTCAGGGCACTGAACAGAAACATTCTTACATATAAAAACTAAGTTAACATTAATTTTCTGAGGAGCAGATTACTTTAAATTTAACTCCCAACACAGAACGCTCATCTTGAGCAAGAATGAAGGCGACAGTGGAAAGGAAAAACTCCCTCATGAGGAAGAAACCTTTAGCAGAACCAGGCTCAGGACAAGCGACCATCTGCTTCTACTGGCTGGGTTTGAAAGGAACAGATACACAATGGCAGGTCTAGAATCATGTTAAGATAGAAATAGTATCAAATGAAAACTATTCAATTTGACAATTCATTTTAAGAAATGAGGTCAGTTTGTCT